AAACCCCCCCAAAAATGCGTATTATTATTATTCACCGTGGTCACGCAATCACGCGAACCGGCTGAAAGGGAAAACGATCAGCATCACCCTCCCTTCGAAGAAGGGAGAAACGCTTTTCTCGCTACATTTTGTGTATATGAAATTTCAAGGATCGACGCCATTTTTGTGATATCGAAATGTATATATATTTGTTCGTTCGCAAAAAATACCACCGTGATTTGTGACATTTTAGAGAATGTAACTCGATATTCGATAGAAGTAATTACTAATTTCGATGAAAAACTGACGAGTCGTTAGTTTCGACGATACCAAAATGGCGTCCCTCCTTGTTAAGCACACGATATCCCGTGAAAAAAAAAAAAACAGGAACATTTTCGCGACCAATTCCATCTTCCACGTGCAAAACTCGCGATATCGACACGGTCGCGAAGATGTGACGAGCAAATCGCAGGAATACTCCGCACGAAACACTCGTCTCTTGGAGCCACGTTTCCGGCTAAGGGAGAAGCGTACAAGGTACGGTATGTGGAATTTGGTGCAAGCTGACGCGGTCTGTAATCGTTTGTTACGCGTCACCCTTCTACGATGAAGCGGCTGAAATCATTCGTGTATCGTGAATTTCGAGGTCGATTCCGGTTTCTTGATGAACAACCCGGCGCAGGGTTCGAGCGAAAGAATTCATCGAGTTTACCGGCGTGTCTCCTTAGATATATCCCCCTCGTTTCGACCACACGACGTTTCCGGTATCGAAAAGAGTCACGTTCAAACACGAACAGCACACGTTCCAGAAGTATACAAACACACGAACCATCGCCCATGTCTATCAGGCACGTGTATTCGCGTTCACCAAGCACTCCAACGCACACGTATACTTCCTCTCTCTCTCTCTCTCTCTCTCTCTCTCTCTCTCTCTCTCTCGCCTGCGTGGCGTGTCCTTCTTCCGTTCTGTCACGCGAAACACGTCCAAAAGCTCGATTCACTTCACTGATAAATTGAACAAATAAAAGAGGAGATTCATTATTTCCGTTTTATGTATAACAGCAGATTTGTCTCTGAAAACTTTATTTTCACGTGAATTTTTATGGTAATGAATACTGTGCCTCCGGTTCGGAGAAAATACCGGCATAGTGTTTCTCTGTTAACATTTATACCCATTTTGTGTTTTACCATTTGTTGGTATATTAACGGAATAACGTTGGTAGGATTTGGAATTTGATTTCTACAGTGAGAAATCGTTTCTTATTGTACTTCACAAGGGAGAAAAGTTAAATATGCGAACTTTCTATTCGAGCGTGTTAAACCTGAGCTTTTGGACGGTTTCCATGAGTGCTTATTCTCGTAGCGTACTATATACCGTCGCTGTATCGCTAGCACAGTCACCATAGCAAATATTTGTATCGTTACCATTCCACAGAGCACCGCCGCCACCATTTTCTCGCATACCTCACGTAAATTTCGTGTGTTAGAGCAGTCTGGTAGACGTTCCCGGAACATCGTTCACGTCCGTAGCTCTGTAGACCAAGTCTGTAGTCTGATCTCGGATGCGAAGTCGTCGTGACAAACCATTTTTCCAGCAACTTTCGAATACACCTTTAGAAGAATATTACTCTAGAATAACAATCTTAACAGAGAAAAGACGGAATTTTTCGTAGATTTTCTAAGATATACAAAAGAAAAGAAACAGAAAAAAAGAAAATGTGTTTGCATTAGTACACTTAGTCAAGATTCTGCACAGCTAGCAAAAGGGATTACATGGTAGACCGTTGAAGGAACAGTATTCTTAAGACGAACAAGTTAATAAAGCGTCCCACATTCGCGGCTGAAGTCCGTAGAACAAGTGAAGAACGGCTAGTAAAATATCCCATTAGTATTCATCCTTGGCGGAGAAGTAGAATAGTTCCTCGAAAGTCAGAAATGCCTCGTAGCACACGAGGAAGCATCGCGATAAGCGCAAGAATACTCAAGCAAAAACACGGTGTGTACAAAGTAACAAGTTACTCGGAAGAAAAAAAGATCTAAGCTCTGCAAGAAACGAGCGAAAATTTTTTACACAGAAGAAAAAAAAAAGAAAAGAGTAGGGAATAATTCGCAACGACGTCGCATCCGTCACCGAGCACTCTCCGATCTCTCCCTGCATCTTCGTGTATGTGCCTGCGTTAGATCTTAGGATTTAGGTGAAGTCTACGTGGCTTGAGTGGCATTTACAGATATGTATATATAAATTTAGGGGGATTCGCACGAAAGTGGACAGAGAACTCGTTTTAACTAAGCACTATCGAGAAGAGTCATTTATCAATAAGAATCTCTAGCCAGACAGAGCTAAAAAAGAAAGGAAAAAACAAAAGATAACTTCACCTTGACAAAATCGTTATCGTATCACCACCTCTTTGTTTTCTTATTCTTTCTTTCTCTCTTTTTTCTTGCACCGGAAGGATGCACCGATCGACGGTGCACCCTTTCACACCTGGGCGTCGAACCTCGAGAGCGAGATATCGAAACGAACAATGCACCAGCACCAAGGCCTGTGTCTCGTCACCGATATTTCTCTTCTATCGTCGACTTAGTAGCACCCTCTTTTCGTGTACCCTGATCTCTCGTCCCTCGGAATATCAATCAATAATCCCTTCCAGCTCTTCGATCATGACTGACATACTTCATACATCCTTGAAGGGGAAATTCAACCACGAATTCTCCCCGCTCGTAATGATCGTTCACTACTGTTTGTGAAAATCGAAGAATCGAACAGATTCTCCGTCTGGTTTTTATTTTTCAGCTTGCTTTCGCTCCACCCCCACCCCCCTCCCCCCAAACTCCCGTGGATTTTGTTACGCGCCACGTTTCAGATCGATTCGTTTAACCGAGTGATTATTTGCTTTTGCAGAAAATACACGGAGAGATTAATCGTGATATCCAGCGTGTAATAATAACGAAAACGAAAAAAAAAAGAAAAGAAAAAAGAAAAAACAGAGAATACATTGGAAAAATATTATGGACGATAGCGAAGGGTGTTTTTTATTAGCGACGCATGCTTCTTTCAGTTGTCTCTCACGGGCTTCCGTCACGTACGTACTGGATCGTTTCCTTTCGTTTCGTTTCTTTCAATTTGGTTCCTGTTTTATGTATGTATATAAGTTCGAGTGAAATAAACGAAGTTAAGCCAATGAAGTATGTCAAGCCGTGGCTAACAGAATTTCCTTGACAAAGCATGCGACAGGAATCAGTTAATCCTAGGACGAAAAAAAGAAAAAAAAAATAAACGAGACATTGCAAGAGCACATACAGAGTCTCTATTCCTTTTGTTCCTCGATCGTCTATCTCTCTCTCTCTCTCTCTCTCTCTCTCTCTCTCTCTCTATCTCTATCTCTCTCTCCTGTCTGTTTAAATCTCTCTCTCTATATATACATATATATAATTTCTTTACTCTCTGTCTGCCTCTTTCTCTCTTATTCTGTCTTTCTCTTTGCACCCTGCGAATCGAACGACGACTGTATATACGAGACGTCGACGATGAGGACTTTCGAAAGGATAGAAAAAAAAAAAAAAAAAGGAAATTTCAAAAAAAAAAAATGTGCTGCGATTGGAATGCGTGGAATGAGCTGCTTTGGATGTGTAGGTGATAAGACTAAGTTTTTTAGCAATTTATTCCCCCGTTCATAAAAGGGGGACAAATTCACGCCCGCATCCGCCCCTTCGTCACTCACGTCCCCCGTTTAACAACAGAACTACTACTTATTACTACAACTACTACAACAACAACCACTACCATCATGACTACTACTACGAAAAACGAAAAACAAAAAAAAAAGAGTAACAATAGTACCACGATCATCGTCATACTATATAATCGTGAATATCGTCATAATCATCATCAACATCGTCATCGACACCGCGAAACCATCACCACCAACCAATCAACCGGTCGTTAAAGTCTCCTTCTGAAAGTTAGTGGCCGAAGACACTGCACGTGACACCTGTTCCCTTCAGATCCAAGGCCCCACGACATTGGAGGACCGAACCAGGTACACTGATCACACGTTTAAGCCTCGAATTAAAAACAAACCTCAGCCACGAATCGACGGGGAAAAAAGAAAAACAAACACACATTTTTCCAATCATCGTTATCCAATCTATCACTAATTCCACAAACCTCCAGTCCGCAACCTGAAATATTGAGTGGCGCATCATATATAATCGGGATCGATTCGTTTCGGACGAAGCGAGAACGGACCGTCGATGTTTCCTTTTTTGCTAACTCTGCTAACTGCGTTTCTTTGCGTCGGCCCAGTGAACAGGAATTTCGCGCGATGGCAGGATCCGGTCGAGGCGAGCTCGGTTCTCAAAATGGCTGACGTTTTTATCCGCGCGTAGTTTCACGTGGAACAAGTAAATGGAAAGCCACGCAGAAGCGAAATTATTGTTTTAATTTCCTCCCCAGAAATGAAATTCTAATTTGATTCTATTTAGAAAAAATTGCGATGACAGGTCAGAGTGTTTAACCTCTATACGGGTGAAACGAATGCAAAAATTGCCGCGGGTGAGAGATTCCTTTTTATACCAAGAATTGCTGTAATTTTCTGCCGGTGGATTGAATGTTTCACTTCCGCGAGTCGAATGAGTAGAAATGACGCGAAAGGGGGAAAAATTATTACCTCGAATGTTGCTGTTTAAGAGGGTACGTCACCCAGGGGCGTCTAAAAGTGTGTAAATTTTGGAAATTCTTTTCATAGGTACCAACTAAATGGAAAGCTCCAATTTTTGCAGATGATATAATTGCAACTTTCAACTTCTTTCATCAGTTCTTAAAAATTAAAAATGTTACAAAATGGAGGAGTTATTGGGAAACAACTTCTGCTGAAACGTCGATTGCTGGCCAAGCCAACAAGGATTGGAACGTCTGAAATAAGAAATTCTTTTTGAGTTATAAATAAAAATGTATTGTCTACAGTATAGCTCAGGACTTTTCAAAAATTCTACTTATTATAGAAATAGCGGCAGTTTGAAGAGGACAAACCTCTTTTGAACTTTAAACTTTTCTAAAATAGTAAATAATTGAGAAATCGAGAAAGTCGAAATAATTTTTATTTATAAATCAAAAAGAATTTTCAGCAATCGATGTTCGAGCAGAAGATTCGCAACAACTGCTCCATTTCGTGACATTTTCACTTTTCAAAAATTAGAGAAAGAAGCTGAAAGTTACGTTTATATTCTACGAAAGAAATTGAAACTTTTCACTTAGCAGTTACCTATGAAATGAATTACCAAACTTTGCCTTTTTTTACAGACGCATCAGGTTGGTATACACGCTTAATAATTTTACGGGGGAAAACCTGAACTTCGCGTCTGACCGAGAATAAAAAGAGTTTAGTAAAAGAAACTGAGAGGAACGTTAGAGAAAATCGGAAAGATTCAGCCTACCTTCGCGTCGCGGTGAAAAACTCGGTAAGAAAAAATCTCGACGGGTTCCATCGCGCGAGATCTATAGCCTCCACGAATCATTATGTCACGCCTTTGATAGAAAAACGACGTACACGTATATATTCCATGCGCGTCTCGTTACTTCTGTGTGTATACGCCCTGCTGGAGATCATGCCTTCGGAAAAGCCACGGTATGTATGCGACACAGTCCACGGTGCCCGAGTCAAAAGTCACGCTAGTCCTGGATTCAACCTCAGTCTCTCTATTCACCTTTATTTTCCTGTTCTAACGTTCCGTCGAATTGAAAAAAATAAGCGGAAAAAATTCGAAATGTGACGGATTCCCTGTTTTCTGCAATTTCATCGCGAGCTATCATGCAGAGGATGAAATTTATAATTAAAGCGCCGGTAATCCGGATGTTTCCCCGGTTGAAAATAATTTTAATTAAACTGCTTGATTCGCTTTCTGTCGGGTATTTTTTTTTTTTTATTTTCGTTATTCCTGGTACGAGATACAAGGACTCGGGATGAAAATAAAAATTGTCCTCGCGGAAGGAATTAGCGGAAAATGACAGGAAAATACGGCAGCATGGAAAGCTATTAGTGTGTCATAATCAGCTCTATGTCGATCGCAATATAGCCGCACGCCGTATGGCTAAACGAATCAACGAGAAAATTCACTTAGGAAAATTTCGTACGCTTCGAACACATTCGCACACGCTTTCAACGTGAACGCACACATTGTCAAGACGAGTCAGAGATTGTTTGTGTTACTGAATCATCTGAGTCATTGATGGATCAAGTGTCTTTGCTGGGAGCATCCAAAAATTGAACATTTTCTGTTTTCTGTCAATCATTGATAAGTGTTAAATTTCGATATTTACAAATTTTGGATGCTTTGTGCAAATGACACGTTCATTTCTCGAAAATTTAGAAACGATTGAATAAATGTCAGACGAGAGAGAGGTGAAAATCGTCGCATTGAAAGCGTCGAATGGAGCGAAACGATTTATTCCGAACGGCACTTGGCTCGATTTTGATGATCTGAAGATCTGGAGGACAGGGGACAGCGTGAGGTGATGCGCGACTTTTGATTCGTCCCGTAAGAGAAACATTTTCATACGATCATTTTCTTTAATGTGTGCAATTATTCGTTATTCACGTCACGTGTACACCGGTTGAGAGGAATCATAGGTAGAACTTTGAACATTTTGTAATATATTTCCTCCTCGAATGGTATCCAGTGAAACTTGAGAAAATCAACTAATTACAATGTAACAATATTTCTCAAATACGAAGAATTTTCTTTCGCTGAAAAATCACGATCTTTTAGAGAGAATGAAAGAGAAATTATTTGGTAAGATTCGCTTCGACACCGTTCAAAGTGGATGGAATATTTCACAAAATACTTCACACTCTACCGTCGAGTAACTCATCTCGTGTATGTACACCCACACATACACACACGCGTATGAATGGCTAAAACTCTCTTCTCTGTATATGTACATTTTGAAACGATTAACGTTTGAATGTTTGTCCTCCTTACAACGACACCATATTTAAAAACCAACAGTGCACCAAGTTTGTTTTTCTCTTGTACATTCTTTAGTTCGTTCTTAATACGATATATTATATATATATACATATACATACACTTTGTCTCTATAATTTTGATCTATCGTTGATTTTTTGTCAACGATCGTATGCAAGATGTCTCGTTTGTAACGAATATCGAAATTATGTCTGCTGCTGTTGAAAGAAAGGAAAAATGCGTAAAAGTGGAGTTTGCATAATTTCAAAACGTGCATCTAGTGATGATAAAAGAAAAGTTCTCCCCAGATCATGGACATTCTTTTACACGTTAACGTCTGTTTTAATTATTTTAAAAAGTAAGGAAAAAAATGTAGATGACCTTGGAGGGACAATTATTGTCATCGTCAGATGCACGTTCTTAAATCAACCATATCTGTACAAGGGAAATTCCAGAACGTGAAAATTCGAAACTTTGCAGAAAAGTAGTTCAAGTGACGGTAATTGTGAAAATATTGTTTGTTTCGGTAATGAAACAGTCCCACGAATGGAAACACGTCCTCAAAAAAATTGCGAGTTTTCATATTATCGTGAATATTTACGACACCGTGCAAGATATGGAAAAAAGTTAAATTCAGGGTTGTGTGATTTTTTATGTCCCGCATTGTGGTGGTGAAAAATTTTCGAAAAATTAAAGGTGGTGGAGGTAAACTTATTATTCATCGACGCGTTTTTCAAACAATTAAAAGTAGTGGGGCTAGCTTAAAAAAAAAATGTTTTTCGAAAATTCTTTGCCACGAAAATGTAGGACATCAAAAAGCACACAACTTTAAATTTCGCTGTTCTTCCACATCTTGTACGGTTTCGCAAATATTCAAACTCGTTTCATTGTCGAAACAAAACATGGTTTCATAGTTATCGTCACTTGAACTACATTTCTGTAAAGTTTCAAATTTTGTTCGAATTTTCAGGCTACCGAACTTCCTCACCTGTAAGCTATTTCTTCCTATTCTCAACAACGGTAGAAATAATTTCGACGTTCGTTACAAACGAAACACCCTGTATATAAATATATACATATATATCTCCACTGTCACTATTCACCTGTGAATGTTTATTTAACTTTACCACCCAGTTTAAATATATTATATACTCTCTTCTCTCGTTCTTGTACGTCTCAGACACGTTCTTGCCCATCACGACTTACCACTATCATGGCCAATCGTCGTAATCGATGCACGAGCAGCGGGACGGTCCGAAAGTCGTCAAGTCGCGTCAAGGCGAGCCGATCCCAGGCCCAAGGAAGGACTTTGCGACTGTTTGGCACCGACCTGATGCGACATGCGATAATACGACGTCGTTCTCCTCGCGTAATCTACTGTCTTATCCTCTACCGTTTATACCTCTTGTGTTTTGTCCACTTAGGCTGGTCGCAAACAGCCCAAATATATTATACAGCCACTATTTCATGGCCATTACTTCTCTGCGAATTATCCAGAAATTTAATGTGGACTCCTTTAGAAATCGTAAAATAAGAAATAACCTTGTATTTCTCGATGAATTATTCACAAATTTCGTAAGTATACGTTGCAGTTTATGAAGTGCGTAAAATTGTTAAAAGAATTTGAAATATCGCAGAAAAATTGATAGAAAATTATTATTATTTCGTATCTCTGTTTGCGACCATACCAAGGATCATCGTACATCTAGCCACACACACTCGCCGAAATGCGTATCCACGAATCACTCTAATCACTCTGACCACCGCTCACGTCATCATCGAGCAAACATCGCGAGTCCTCCTCAGCACGTATCACCGCTCGACTATTCGATTCAGAGAGATCGCCTGGTTCACGTCATCTTCATCTCATCGAGCGTGTCATCTATCGAGTCGTGGATACGCATTAACTCTCATTCATCTTGTCCATGCGACGTGGCCGCGTTTCGAGTATAATCCTCCTCTACAGAGACCTCGTGTGATAGATTTCGATGTTTCGATCGTGTTAATCCGGCACACATATAAACGAGGAAATCGTCCAATTGCCTTTTTTTTCTTAGTTGTTATCTTAATGATTATCGCGTGTACGTTTTGGACGGCTCGGATAATTTCGAAGCAAGCTCGATGAGAACAGGAGAGAGGAGATAGGAGGCAATATAACGAACGAAGTGAGAAAGAGAATGAATCGTCGAAACGCCGCGCGCAGAAATATGGACAACGATGTCGGCCGTACGTCGCGGTGGGCGAAAGAACTGCGGCGGCGCCCGGCGTCCGCAAGAGGATCGTTCTGTCGTTTTTGTGGAGAACAACGTATTTGAAATTCTAATCGCATCCAATCGAAAGATCGAAGGCTCGAAGAATTGAACAAAAACCAAAAAAAAAAAAATAAAAAAGTAAGAAACATTGGACAAATTAATCGAATTAGAGTGACCTTGCGTTCGCGGCGTCCGCGAGAGATCGATGAAAAAATAGTCGAAAGATTGATTCATTAGAACGCTCTGTGGTCCTTGTGACGATCGTGGATGTCCATCGGTGATCGGTGGAACAAAAGAGACAGCAGCAAGTTCTGTACATCGTTGTCGATGAAATTAAAGAATATACTATGCCACGGGAAAAAAAAAATGATCACGGCCCCCCATGGTCATTCGGAGGAGCGCGAAATGATCGGCTGGATGTGTTCGAAGGAAGAAGGAAGCTCGGCGGAACGTCGCTTTTCTTTCGTCAACCGGGACGCTGCCGGTGCCACTTCCGCTTCCTCGAGACTGTCCCGTGTGGAAGCGAAAACACCTACGAAAATTCCAATTTTGCGTCCATCCACTGTATACGGTGATAGAATCAAATTTTAGATATTCAAAATGAAACTTAACGATTTAACTGTTTAAATAATCCTCTGTTATATTATATCTATATAAGTACAAAAATAGTGAAGTGAAAACTTCTAAATATCGTTGGCTACATTGGTCAGAGTCCTCCTCTTTCGATTTTCAAAGTCTCAGGTACAATAAAAGGGATGGGTGCCCCCCAATTTTCTCTTCTAGCTAAATTTGAATTTTAATGATCTAAGTCAACAGTGGTTAGTAGAAAAAAAAAGTATTACGGTAGTTTTCAACCAAAAAAAACTCAGTATTTCAACCCTCGAAAGCAAAATGCAGTGGATGACTTTTTCTCAACCCCTCGAAAGATATACAAATTCTTCATCCACGGGACAGATTTCGTGCGTTAGCGAAGGCCGCACCCGACTACCGTAGAAATAAACCACTACCACCACCACATCTCTTCAACCGAAAAAACCACCACCGTATATACATCACACCAAGAAAAATATATAATAAAAAAAAAACCGTAGAAGTTTCTCAAAAAAAAAAAAAAAAAGAAAAAAAATTCCCTCGCACGCTCGCTATATATATATAAAAAAAAACCTCTATAGAGAGAAACACACGAAAAAAATAATTAAAAAAAAAATAAATAAAAATACGGACGTTGGGAAACACGATCGACGAGTGTAACCGTATGCCCCTATTGCTTGTTGTGTTGTAAAGGAGCTCAAAGCCACGAACGAGAGCCTGAAGAGCCTGCAGACGCAGCTGGAGCTGTCGTATGCCTCGACCGCGTCATCCGGAGCGGCCGTTGCCGGCGGAAGTGCTGCTGTTCTCGGGCTAGGTAGCGTATCAGGTGCAGGAGGTACTGTCCTTGGAGGTAGCGTGGCGGTTCCAGGTGGCGTGCCCGGTAGCACCACCCTGACGGCCATCTTGGAGACAAAAGACGCGCGCATACAAACCCTGGAGAAGGAGGTCTCGTTACTTGAGGCTGAGTTACAACGTATTAAGGAATGCGGTGGTAGATTGAGGGAGCAGTTGTTGAAAGCAACCGCCATACCTAGTTGTACCACAACCACTAATACCATTGGCGGTAGTAGCATACAGTTGGAAGCAGGAGGTGGAGGAGGAGGAGTAGTAGGTGGAGGAGGAGGAGTAGGAACAGCAATGGCTCAACAACAGCAACAACAACAGACGCTGCAACAACAACAACAACAACAACAAAATAAGGTTGCCGTAGGAAGTATCGAGTCGCAAACGCGACAACAACAGGGATTGGTGACGGCCATGGGTGGTTCGCAGCAGCCCGGCACGTTGGCTTTGGCCAGGGGACCGTCCGTGATGACCTCGCTGGTACCGTATGGCCACACGTCGTCCACGGCATTAACCAGTTCATTACTTGCCGGTTCGACAGGTGGGATCACGAGCGGGGGCGCAGGCGGTGGGGGCGGTTCCTCGTGCCTGGCCGGCATCTCGTCGGGCGCTACCACCGGCGTGGTCAATCCCTATACCGATCGTTACACCGATCATCATCTACATCATCAGCTACTACATCATCATCATCCTCCTCATCATCATCCACCACCACCACTACCACAACATCATCTTCATCAGCATCATCAGCATCAGCTACAGTTGCAGCATCAACATCAAATCCAGCAACACTTGAAACAAATTGAGCCTGCGGCGCAGGGCGCACTGGCGCTGCACGCGCACACCTTCAACAAGCACGACATGAACTTCAAACGGCAAGTAAGTTTCTTCATCAACAACGTGCGCATCGAAAAGAACGACGCCGTCTAGGGAAATAACTAAAAAAAATATGGTCGACTGCGCTACACTACTGCTGGGTGTGTTATAAATATAAAGTATCGATCGATGAGAATCCAAAAAAAAAATGCTCTAACCACACTGCGCTGTGTTATCAATTCTTTATAATCTTCCGTAATAATCATGGGATCTCTACTTCTCTGCTCCTCTGTTGCGTCACGCCGAATTATATAATATACATACCTTGCACGCCGCAGGTTCCTCTCCGCGTGAGTACCCTTTGTGGCTGTACCCCGAAAAGTCAGGACTACTACTACTACTACTACTACTACTACTACTACTACTACTACTACTACTACTACTACTACTACTACTACTACTACTACTACTACTACTACTACTACTACTACTACTACTCTACTACCTTGCGTCTCGTTTTTTCAATCAAAAAGTAATAATCATCATCGAGAGAAAGCAGAGACTGAGCAGCGTCTGTTTCTATAAAACGCAACCCCTCTTCGAGTCAACGGGTGCGCGATGCTCGTTACGAAGAAGCCGACACTGAGCCAGGAGATATTAATGTGTTCGTGCGTAGAACCGGAAATATTCGAGACACTGAAGGATCTTCAAGTGTCGATGCTTTTAGTGAAATGTGTTCGAGTGAATGGAAGTAAGCATGATGGGAATAGTATGGGTGAAGGGTGAAGATGCCTGTATGTATGAGCGTGCATGCGTGCGTGTGTATGTGTAAGTGTCTCTATACCTAGTAGAGAGGAAAGGAAGAGAAAAAAAAAAAACAAAGAAGAAGAGTATATTTGACAGGAAGCTGCGTGACGTAGCCGTCAGTCGAATCGTTCACAGGTCGAAACGTCCCGCGGATCTTTCGATTCCTTTCGTCTATGTCTTCTCGGTACGCCGCGTTGATGCGTGTACACTCGTGTATACGAGTCCGTGAGAATTAAATAGAAAAAAGCATTTCTTTTTCCCATGGGAGAATTTTCATTCGGAACAGCATTTCACTCTTCTCTGAATTAAATGGCTACCGATATGCACACAGCCCGGAACACAAATGTACACACACATACACGATACGCTTAACGTTTCCCGATTTTTTATTCACAGCCGTGTTTTTTTGACAGGCGACAAGGTTTTTCTATCCAAAAGCAAGAAGAACGAACGTTCCCGAGCGTCCTCAACTATTTTGCCACCATACGCCATACAAATTTTACTTCTCTCAGGACTTGTACGTACACGCGTGTACACGCGTCAATCAGCGACACATTATAGCGTACCTGTTTTCTTTACCTCCCGACGCCCCGTTTCTTAACGAACAGCAGAGTTCTCTATTTTTTGACTCGTGATTGTACCTGTTTAAGATGTCGTAGGTTTTACTGAGAAGAAGAAACCCGATCTTCGACTGATTTTCTCGATTCGAAACCGTGTTCGTTCCGCCTCCCTCGTGAAGAAAATTAGAAAATACGGAGGAAAAGTGGTGGAATCGTGGCGAAATTGTCGAGATGGGTTTCGGGGTAGTTCTATCGAGAGAAAGTCACACGAGAAAGTCACAATTCGGTAGCTTCTACGTGTAGAGCCCGAGAGCAACTGTGCGTACCTAATGTCTAGGCCTTAGAGGTTTTGATTATACGTTGTTGTTGAATTTGTGGATAATTAGGCGTTGTACAGTGTCCCTCCCCCCTTGTTGAATTAGAAGACACGTCTTCATAGGAGACACGTTGTTTCGATTCTGTTTAGAAGGGTGTATACTCATGAAACGCCATGCTGGTTCTGCTCGTTTTGGGGAAAAGATTTCAGCTTGATTCTCAGGTGGACGATTTTTCGAATAAATCGCCAAAGAAGAAGAGAAAATATCGCTATTTTTCTGAGAGAAAAATTACACACATATATATATTTAGATACGCAAATTGATGTTTGAAAAAAGATTTTCGAATTCGTAGTGAAAGTACAAAAAAAAAAAAAAACGATGCACCATGTTTGTTCCTATAGTACATTTCTAAAGTAGTCGAAAACCACTTGAAAGTATACATCTAGCCTCGATTAAAATTTAAGATCTTAGACAACATATTCTCTCTCTCTCTCTCTCTCTCTCTCTCTCTCTCGTTCTCTTTCTATCTCTCTTTTCCACAAGATCTTCCAGCTGAGAATCGAATGCTCTCCCAGAATCTTTTCCATCAAAATCGACCCAGAGAATCTCGTGGCCAAAACCAGGCCGGAATTTCGCGGGAATACACGCGAAACGTAACCCAAATTCGTGGTGAACGATGCCCACCACACGCGTGTGGTATAACGGCGATACACAGGTGAAAGAAAAAAAGAAAAGAAAAGAGAACGAAAGCGTGCGTGTACAGTGCGTGCGTGGACGATGAAGAGCAAGACACGCGAGCAGAAGTTTCTAACAGTTATATTTTCGTAGCTGAGACCGTTCTAGTTCGCCCTAACCCGCCCCCTCGTCCGCCCGATTCACGCGATGATCCTCGGAGCTATCGGTGTTCAGAATGCCACGTGTGGGCTCATCGACGATAATAATCGACAAACGGAGAACAACACACGTGATATCTCATTCGTGCACGTCGTTTTCTCTTCACGATCGCTCAGAGGCGCGAGTCTCCTCGTCGCTTCCAGCACAATCTTTATTTTTCTACTCTAAATCTAGGAGTAAGAGACACGAAAACGGTACGAAACGCGTCCCAACGACGATCTATAGCGAGATGCAAGCTGGAAAATGGTCCCCCCCCAATAGGCTGCACCAGGCGCTTCGGAGTGGTCGAGCTGGCTCTAGGCAGGGATGATCCTTTTTCCTCCCCTCTTGCTGTCTCCTCCGTCGAGGATTGGACCGGAAATCGACGCCTCAAAGGACATCTCTCCGTCTCGACGATGTTTCACGATCTCTGGTCGACTCTACGCTCGCAAGGTCCACATTTTTGAGCCTAACAGTGTGTTGTTCACACACACACCCACACGCACATTGCGTTCCACCGATCCTCTTCGTAGACGAAAAGAGAACGCTTTACGTCGTCAATAATTGGAACTCTCGATAATCGAGAACGATAGATATATATTATACGTATATACATATACATATATATATATATATACACATAAAAGAAAAAAAGAGAACGATAATAAAAGTAAGGAGTAATAAGAAATTGGATGAATAATTCTGTATGACACCCTGTCGATTCTCTCTCTGTAACCCGTGAAACGATCCTCCTTGAGACGTTGACAGCCTCTCGAGGCCACCGAGGGTGCTTCGCATGGACGACTGAAAAAACAAAAAAAAATACCCGAATCTTGGAGAGACAAAGAAGAGACACGTCACAGCGAATGATCGAACGAATTCTCGATAGGTTCGAACGTGTGTATAGTTTCTTTGAACCCTTTTTCATCCTTCCCACGTAATTCCTTCTCCCGCTCCTCTGATCCTTTTATCTACCGAAAAACTATTACGTTCCGAATAAAGAAACACGAAGATGAAAGGAAAAAAATGTTACACGATCCTATGCACCTTCGAGGCAACCTGTCACTTAAGATTTCCTCGATTCAGACAGAGAGTTGTTCATTTTGGACACGTGAGGAGTGCATGTCAGCGACGACGAGGAGGCCTCGAAGTCGCGCTGACAATGTGGAATAACAATATATATATATAACCAGAGAGAAAGAAAGAATTTGACTCTGTTCAATCGTTCTCTGATCCAACTTCGATCCCCTCTCCTTTACATCTTTTCGAATTATGATTTCGTCCACTTTGTGAAAAATTCATCATCCACCGAACCCCCCTTTCATCAGTCATATATATATATCGACGAATCATCGTTAGCTCGCCATCACGCACTCATCAAACACAATAAAAATCGATTCACTCGTGGTCAAGAATCGTCTCATAAAAACCGTCCCAGAGGATCATCGAGCAATCTGCAGTCTGCACTCGACCCCGAGTCTCGAAATTCCTTTGCACTTCTCTAGTAGCCAGTAGAATTATCAACGATGTGTCCGTCCGTCACCTGTACCATTGACTTGTTTCACTTGTTTCCTCGCAGCCATCACACTGAACAGACATCGTTTGTTTCCTTTCATCGATTCATCGTAGATAGATATTCACGATAGCCCTTACGTATATAATTCGTTCATTTCATCTCGTCGATTCGTTTCATTGCCAGTTTTTCTCGAATACTCGAAGGGATCATTAGTCAATCAGGATCGATCATTTTTTGTTCATCGTTAGACACAATCGATCGATTTAGGATTCACGCGTATCGGTATCATTGCTATTCTGGGGACTTATTGCGTCGAGGATATCATTTTACATGAGAAACTAAACATCATCACATTATGTTGATTGCCGTCCGCCATTCTCTCGTCGCGTAGAATTCGAATGCAGCTAGCGTTCAGGCATGATGCATGCGTCGGAGAGTAGGGCAAAGTAGAGTACCGATTATATCACACTTAACAACCCGTCAATCTTAGGTACGTTTCTTCTTGTGAAAGTGCAAGCTTCCTTTCTGTCACTTGGAACGCGAAAAGCTGAAGACTCGAAGTGGAAAAATTTCTATAGAAATTTTGATTTTTCAAATCTTTAAATTTCTTTCCCTTCTACTTCGAGTCTTCCACAGCTTTTCAACGATTATTTCATCGAACGTCCGGCGACACGAGAACGAAGCTTACACTGTCGGATTGGTAATAAGTAGGACATTTTTCAGCAACCATTATTAGAATCATGCAGATATTTCAATCTCCAATGGGATTCCTTGATATCTTCACAGGAATTTTGAAAGAACCAAAATCGCTATATTTTGTACACGATGTTTAAAAAAAAAAGAGAAGAGAAATCAAGGAAGAAATAGAACGGTGTAATGAACCATTGAATTGGCTGTTTGTCGTTTTCCACCGGAAGTGGAGGAGTTCCAATACGACGTTCGACATTGAAAGATAACAAGGAGTCTACTGAGAGACCAGGAACCGCTGGC